ACTCACCATTTGCTTCCTTGACATCCCTCATTCCAATCGCTGGTACAGCCACCTGTGATTCCTCAGTTGCATATCCCTTCTCTATGAGACAGCTTGATACATTTATTACTGGAGTAACTGATGCATCTACAAGCTCCACCACCGATCGATAATCCTCTTTATCCACTACCTGTACTGTTAACACTTTATCTTTCACCAATTGGTTCATAAAAGAAATAGCTTTTGAGGTCCAGGCTCCTTCTGCTGGCTTGACACCTAAGAAGTCACACAGTAGAAAAAGGTTTTGAGGACAGTCCAAATCTGAATGAACATGTAGAAGGGTACAACAACACGGTTTAAAACAAAGCAACTCATCCCTCACACTTGTAACGAGGTTTCAAAACCAGTTTACTTAGATTCTGAACTTTTGTAGTGCTTGGATTTAACAAAAATCTGACACAGATCATGTGCAACTAGTCTATTACACAAAGAGAAGTGTAAACTCAGATTTAGTACTGCCTTAGTAAGAATGTCTATAAAAGTGTCAACCTCCAGGTCTCATGAATACAACCTACAGTTTCGAATATTATTTATTTCTCAGCCAATGTATCTGCTACTATAAGCTTCTTCCTCCTCAAATGTTTACACTTAGTGCTACTAATTTTATTTCTAAAATGCAAGCTATAACCAGAACTTTATAGGAACAAGTTGGCAGAAGTTGCCTTCCAGAAAGACATATTTTATGCAGCAGTAATCCCTGACTCTTGTGAGGAAACATCCTATTCACTCACTTTTTTGTATCCATGTTGTGTTTAGGAACTTTCTTAGTCTTAGAGCACTCATTATCAGCTACAGGCATTGTGATCTTGCCCACAAAAGAGATCTCATTAGATCACATTCCATATGCATTTGTTCCATCTCTACATATAAGGGAAGCATTGTTTCTGTTTTCCTCCAAAGTAAGAAGGTAGAATGTTGCTCTGACCGTTAACAAAAATTTAAAAATCTGGTTAAATATCAAGTATTCTAAAGGATAGGTACTGAAGCAAAGGAGTGGACTAATCTCACATAGTTATAGGAACAAAGAGATAAAATAACTTCCCAGACTAGGTTAAACAAGTATGTAAAAAACATATTATGATCCCAGCTTGAGACACAAGAAGGAGCCAGGAAGTGTTAACATCCTTTACAACCTGACAGATTTCATAAGCCTACAGAGAGGAATCTACCAGTAGTTTCATTAGGTTTGCCCCAGGGGAAGGAAATTGATACAGTTCTGAATTTCAAGACACAAAATGAAATTTTACCTTCCTTTGCAGTGTAGAACCACAACAGATTTAAAAATCCCACAAATCCAGGAGGTGACTGAATTTTGCTTAGAACAAAAGCACATGCAAAACCTAACAGGTGAGTTAATATAAGACAGTTTTCCAAACACACCATTGCAAGTCACCAGGTACATTAGGAATGATTTGCCATGTTTTGTAGATATGCCACAACAATTAAGAATTCTGGAAATAAAACTTACTGTTATCTCCATTCTTCCCCATATTCCAATCCAAGATACTACAGGTGTGATCATTACCTAACCTCACTTTGCTTCTATCCAGTTTGAAGCAATCTATCATTTATTTCATACCTGCCAAGGCACATCTGATGGCTTGAGCTGGCAAGTCCATTAATCTTGGAATCATAGGTTGAAGTCTCGTCAGTGGAAGAGCTTCAAGATTACCGTAATCTATATAGCCGACCAAAACGGTATCTTCAGAAACACATGCTGTAACAACACCACGATACCAAAGATTGTCTTCTAGAAAGGAAGATACAGATGTTCATTGTACTCGCTTTTAACTTCTGAGAACATAATTATTTTGTGGGCAAACCAACATAAAAATGCATAAACCAGCAGCATTACAGTTCACACAAACTTCACAAAACCCTTATGGATATAACATCTGCCACCACTCACTCTTTTCATAAAGAACAGCACCCCCTCACAAGCACAAATGCAACGAAGAATTGACTGCGTTACGTGGGGGTAGTGCTTACGTTGAATAAATTTAAACAGGAAAAAGTATCTCAGCTGACCACAATGACACGCAACTCAAAGGCCACACAACAGATCTAATAATGTAAAAAATGAAAAGCATAAGAACAGCAATACATGGAGTGTTCTGTTGGGTTTTTTCTTGTTATAAGCTGGACGAAAAGGAGAGGAATCTTTGATGAAAAGAGAATAATCATACTGCTGCACTCAGGATTTCTGATTAATACATAAAAGATTCTTCTTTCATGTGGACTTACTAATTCCTAGCACAAAACTCCGCTTTATGCACAATACTAGCCCGTGTTTAGGTAAGATCTAATTTTGTCATCAGACTTGTGGAAACTTGGCATCAGTGATAACTGTCAGGTGGAAACCAAGTTACAATCCTGAACTAACAGGTTTTGGCTAAATAACACTGAGAAGTCTACCAGAGAAGCATTGTTACATATAGTCCCATTTCCTCTGTCCCTTTCTGGGGTCTAAAATTTCAAGACTATTTTTTTCAAGCCACAGGAAATAGTCCTCACTGACAAAAAAAATAAAATAGCTCCACACCTAAACTTTTTCTTGGTCTCTTAAAAAGCTCATTTACACAAAAATGAATAGTGTTAGAAGCTTGCTCAATGAATGGACCATTTCACAGTCTTTTTTTAAACTAGTCTTCTATAGACATCAGCATTTGCTATTAATATTTTTAAAATCATTACCAAAGTACCCACAGCTAACACCAGACAGAAATAAATTAAGATCTACGTGAAACGTTTCTAAACACGATTATAAAATGTGTTTATTTTTTGTAATAAAGTGACATAAGTTGAGAGCCATATTTTTACTCCACTTTTACCTGTGAACTGGGCACAGCACAGACTTCCAACAGCAGGATGGAAAGCTGGACTACTGGGAAATTTGCCACAATGTTCATTAAGAGACACTTGAAGCTCAGCAAGTAGACCTGATATTAAAACATACAGGTTTTGGAACACGGAGTGTCTTGTAATTATTTACAAAAGAACAAAAAACTTAAGTTCAATTGTAGTATAATGCAGATTATTTCACACAATATTTAACATAATATCAAAATAGTCATGAGACTATGACTTTTCAATCAGTAAGATCAAAGAAAGTCCTCACATGAGGAAGGGTAGTGGTAAACAGAACAGACAGTAAAAACCAGTCACAGACCTTTTTGCCACATGTGCAAAACCAAAGCCAGCAGGAATTGAAAGCAAGCTAGCAGGAGCATGCTCGAAAGAAATCAAGGAAGACGACTCTTCAAATAACAAGAGGATGATGAGCATCACTTCTTGATGAAGGACACCCAGTCTACCCAGAATTCAAAGGCTGCACAAGTACACAGAAGAGAAATCCACCATAGGAGATCCCCCAGACCATATCCAGCTGCAAAAACCTTCTGCAAACACCTGCTGGCTCAGACAGCGCTAGGAGGGCACACTGCACAAGTTCTGCTTTTATTCTCACCAGACATCTATTTATGGGCACTGTGGGAGTTGCACCGAAAGTCCCTGTAGCCTGCTATAGTGTCACTTGACAGTTTTATGTTTTACTGTATTAGAAGACACGGAAGCAGGGCTTGGGCACTGTTATCTGGCCTTCTCATACTCAAGATGTTCTCACCATACTATGTAACAATGAAGTTCAGTTCATTCACCCAGCCTATAAGGAAACATTTCCCTCCAGTGGTAAAACAACAAAGCATCATAGGAATAAGCAAAGTTATGAGAAACTCACAAGCATTTCTGGAAGAGGAGAGAACATATTTAACATTAAGCATTTGTGATATAAACTGACTTCGGATTGCTAAAATCCATGCCACGCCACCTTTCTACTTTTCACTACTCACACTGCCCAGAAATTCTCACCCTGCAGGTTAGTAAGAGATATTCAAAAACATCCTCTACACCACAACGGCTTAATGCTACAAGGAACCACCACTTCAGATCAAACTACAAGACCAGCAACACCTCCCTCCAGCCACTCGCTACTGAACCATGCCAGACTAGGTATCTCACATCCTGTTTTCAGCACATCACTCACGAGCACTGTGTATCTGCTGGCAGTAGAAGTCTTCTGGACTTTGAAGGCAGGAAACCACACCAGAAAATGTATCTTCAATACATACAGAGACACACTCTGCAACTGAATTAGTGCAGTCAAGAAAGTCTTTGTCTTCAGGTATTTTTTCCTTACTTCCCTTAGAAGGGACTTCTGACACTGCATTTAAAAAAAAAAAGAAGGAAAAAAAAGAAAAAAAAAAAAGAAAAAAAGAGGTTACTGAGCAAAAGCTAGATGACTTTGAAATGTGCAACCTCACCGGTCAGGATTCAGAGACTTAAAAACTGTGCTAAATTAAACAACAACATTTAAACACACTGAAGCAGTTTATACTTTTTGCTGCCTCTTTAGCCTTTGAAGGTTCCTGTCATATGATCCACGGAACTAACGCTCACTAATCATCACTCAACAAGTACTTTATACTACTAAAAAGCGTACGTGGTTCCGAGACTGGTGAACTGAGGCAAGCTGCACTAGCCCATGTTTTTCAAGAGAAGGTGACGCCAGTGAACAGCTAGACTATTTACTACTTTCAGGTTATCGTGACATGAAAGGATTTTAAATTCTCCATGTTTTTTTCTGTCTCTTACTAAGATGTTTGATTTGCTTGCTTACCTCTTGGAGAGTCTGCTCCTACGGCATTACTTTCTGGAGTTAAATCATGCCTCGTTTCTAAAGATACTTTATTTAGACAACCTCCTAAAATACAGATGTAAGGAAGTAATTTATCATTCAAGAGAATCATAATTTAGTTTTATTTTAGAACCTTCTTCTAAGCCTGACCTATGTCCCTACCACAAGGTGAGCACGTTCTACTTATTTGTTGAGCACTTAGCATAATATGCTTAGAATGCAAAATAAAAGCAGAGTTTTCTGAAGACATCGATGGCTCCAAAAAAGGAGCAAAGCAGTAACAAGTAACATTTACTCGTAGTCACTAAGGACTATTGGCTAAAAAACTGGATTACAGCTTTTCACATAAGGATTCACGACTTACCTCCGTATTTACAACTGAGTATGCAGTGCACTACCACGATTTACACAGAAACCTTGAGTTTCTTAGCTATTACACACTCCATTTCTGATGCATGAAGCAATATTCCAAGCTTTCAACATAATTATTTTCAACTGAAAACAGATATCTAAGTTGCTTGTAAGGTCATGGAATAGACGTATTTAATATTTCATGAATGCAGAGGTTAGAGGTTAGAAATGTCAACATACTTAAAGAGGTCTTAAACTAGATACAACAATATCCAGTGACTGTACTTTCTTTGGCATAATTTTATAAAAAAATTTGTACGTGCTCACCAAAAAAGAGTTGGTAAAATCCTTCGTGGGACTAGAAACGGACAATATAATTTTTAACAAGTTAAAAATACATGTGATAAAAGGAACAATATGGTTCCAAATATGTACGCATCAATTAAAACAGAAAAATAAATAATATAATCAATAAAATGCTGAATTTATTACAATTCTACTGGAAAAGTAAACTTACAAAAATTTAAAATTAGTAAGCATAAAAAGACCTCCCAGGCACAGGCATTTTAAAAGCACCTCTACGTGGAAAAGTCAAATAAAATTTAAAAAAAAAAAAAAAAGAGGAAGGTCGGGAGAGCAACAAGCAGGAGTAGAACAAAATAAAAAACTCTTCTCTTTTAAAGGTATGGGGCAGGGAAAATGAACATGAAAGGCTTTCCACTTGCATTGTGGTTTTTAACCCACGCTACGAAGTACTTACTAAAATCTGGAAGAACAACATCTACAGCAAAATTCAACATCATCTCCTCCTGTAATACGTCAACAACAGTTACTGAACACTGCTCTCCCACGAGCTGAGACAAAAAGCCGGCAATGCCTTCACTCCATTCTTCTTTTGGATCATAATTAGCAACTGAACATTTAATGGCCTGGAAAGAATTACAATTAGAACAAGAGGAGATAGGGAGTTGTTTGCTCTTTAGAAAAAGCAACCAAATAATTAAGGCCCTCAGAAATATCACCTTGCATAGAGAAGTTAAAGCTACTGTTGGACTCTGCAGCACTATCAATTCAACTATCTTCTTTACAAGAGTGTTAAGAATTAGGAAATTGTTCAAACTATGAATCACATTTCCTCTGATTCTTCCACTATTTATGCCGTCTTATGTCACATATGGTTGTTTCACATACCTCCTCTGACCAGAGGTGCACGCCCTCTTGCCCTCAGCAGACACTGAGGGCTTTAAGCCAAGATTCAAACAGCTCTCAAAACCTTTTATGGACCCAGAAGAAAGTCACATGAACAGGCTGTGAAAGACTACTCCAACAGCGGCCAGTCATGGTCGTCACTGGTTGAAAGATCTTCTTTGTGTTAAACACACAAGTGCAACCTGCAGATTAAATCTGCCCCATCTATTTTGTAGCGGAAGGCATTCACATATTATTGCAATGAACTCAGACCAACAGCTGACTCTTCTACAAACCAAGCTGGCCAAAACTACAAGCAATTTTTCACTACTGCATGACACCAGATAAGAATATACAGTCAGAATGTTTCCCCTGCTGTCCTCTAGCAGACCTAATCAACCTGCAGGGTTGTTTTGGGATTATTTTTTTTTTATCAGCTCAGAACCCAGGAATTCTCAGACTAGGAAGCGAAAAAGCCACGTGGCCTTCCTCACTTCTACACAACAGCTCGGGAAAATTTCAGAACTTCACGTAGTATAGCAGTTTTTATACAACACTTGCACTGAACACGAAATACCGTAATAATGACAGTGACAATGAGATACAAGTTTACACTCATTTCCGAGCCATTCACTTAAAATATCTCAGCTGTTGTTAGGAAACAGAACTCACACATGGAGGAAACAACAGGTCACTGTCTCTGTGCAGAGCTTTAATCGAGGAGAGTGGAATATTTTCTTCATTTCCACAATCTATATAGAATACTTGTGCTTTCTTTTGCAATATATCCACATCTTTTACCAGTGCTCTGTTCCAGGTCTGTGTAGGTACAAACAATAATCTTAATAAGAACACAGCATATTTTGGTTTACTTTATCAGGTTAGTTTATCAAAGGCACTAACCAATTGTGCAATAACTCAAATGAACACAGCTCACTGTAGTGTCGACTGCTGCGAAGATAAATTTCTACTGCTATGGATATTGGCTAACATACAGTAAACCAAGAATCTACTAACAATGGATGAGAAAAAGGGGAAGAAACACAAAAACAGGGTGGGAAGGGAAACAGCAACTAGATGTGGCTGTAGAAATGCAGCTAGAAAAGTCAGGTAATGAAGAAAGAATAACTTAAGCAAAGCCATATTCCAAACTGCTTTAACTACAGTAGTTTAAATTTGCTAAGAACACACTCAGCCTTCAGGCAAGCACCTACAGGGCTCAAGTACATAGAAAAAAAAATTTGTAGAGGTAAGGGGAAAAAAATCAGTAACTCAAATGTGAGCTCCAGGCATTACAGAGCTAGCTACCACCACATTTCCACCACAGTAAACAGATCTCTATTTAGCAGCCCTCACTGGTTGAAGCATTAAAAACAAATCATGCCAAACATGATGAACTCAACACAGCATGCTTATTTTACAATCAGATGTTACCTGATCCAAAGAACATCTTGCAATGCAGACTTCCCCTTTGACAGCAATATATTGCTCTTCAATACCTGTGCTAGTGTAATGGTCTTGCAGTTTCACACAAAGTTTACCGATCTGGTCCAATACTTCTGGAGAACTCATCTGAATATAAAACTCACTCGGACTCTTGAACTTCGTTACTGTACCCTACAGAGAAAAGCCATAGCAGATGATAATTACACCAGAACAACCTACAACATATCATTCAGGGCCCATGTTCATTTCAATAAATGCGTTTCACCCCATAGCTGATTTTCTTCTTTTGTTTTGAAGTAATTATAAGAGTAATTAAGCAGTAATTAACTGCAGGGAACAAAGCACACAATATTAGGGGTTGGAAGAGACCTCTAGAGATCATCTAGAGTCCAACCGCCCTGCCAGAGCAGGACCCCCTAGGGCAGCCACACAGGAACGCGTCCAGGTGAGTTTCGAGTCTCCAGAGGAGGAGCCTCCACAACCGCTCTGGGCAGCCTGTGCCAGGGCTCCAGCACCCTCACGGTAAAGAAGGGATGTTCACCTTCACAGAAATAATTGTCCTCACTCTCCTCCCACTCCCATTGGCATTTATTCATCTTTACAGTAATAAAGGAATTTTACATGTGAACAAAACGAGACGAAGAGCTGAGGTGACATGCAGCTACGTATGTTTAACAAAACTTCAAGTGCAACCACACAAAGCATTTGGGGATTCTTCCAAAGAGAAGTACCTGTATTTCCATAGCTTTTTTGATCTCTAGAGTCTGGAGATCTGAAAGCATTATTTTCTTGATGTGCTGTTCTGTCTTGAGAGAATCCACAGAAGCCGAATTAACTTGTAGCTGTTTTAAACAGGGTATGTTTAAACCACAGTCGCTCAGCTGTAGCTCCTTGCAGTAACAAATTAAAAAAGAACTCTTTATCATTTCAAGAAATGTAAGAAGTGCTTTTGCTGACTGATTTTCAGTGAGAAGCCTTATGGGCTTGTATTAGTCTTGAAAGTAACTTAAAACATTATCACAGGAGATATAATGAACAGACGCTGAAAAACAAGTGCTCAAGTCTCACACATTCACCTCTTCCTTTCACATCTGCTTTACTCAGCTGCAGTTCCTGTTTATGATGCTCTCATAAATAAGAGAAATTGAATGTCACCTGCTTCTCTGTAGCTGTAACACCAGAGTAGATTACAGCTACTGCTTTAACTGCTGGCATCCGTTTTTAAAGAAAATCCAAACATTTAGTATAACCTGCCTAACACACACCATCTGTGGCTGTGACATCCTAAAAACATTAAGGGAAATAACCTCAGGGAAAGCCTCTTCTACATTTGGACCAATATACTGCAGACAACACATGATAACTGAAACTACTGCTGCAACTTCCAAATTAATTGTCTACTTGCAACAAAGACCCTTCTAGAAGATTTGTCATAACACATCCCACAGTACAATAGCAAAATACATGAAAGACTGTTCAATATGCAATAAACTCTCTTCTGTAGAACTTCCTTGAGTTTCAGAAGATGAAACAGGGAAAAACAAAACCTTCTGTTATTTCAAAATAAACTGGCTACAAATTGTTTACTCATATTGTAAAGTCTCTTGATACAAGTGTTCCTCAATGTCATTTGATCAGTATTATCACAACACAGCCACAAGCACATACAGAGCAGAAACTTATCACGATGCACTAAGAGAAGTCTCATGACTCAAAACGAAACCTCCTTTCTAAATTCCTTCAAATGGTTAAACAGATGAACGAGCTACTTCCAAGAAAAGCATGACAGAGTTCTCCTGTGCAGTGCAAACATGAGGCTAGCTGGAGATATGCACATTTATTCACTTTCATAAATATCATCCCAAGAAGACATGAAGACAGCAAAATGATCTCCTGCAGAAGAGCTCACAGGAAGATTACAGGAAAGATCTGGCTTCAAAACATTATAAAGGAGAACTGCAGCCTGTTTAACTCCTGCTGCAGCAAAGAAACAAAAGCTACATGTATCTGTTCCTACACAAAACTACATTAAAGGTATTTCTCAGATAATTTATAATGTATTTCTCAGATAATTATAAAGCTCCAAGTATCAGCTCATGATCTACAGAGAAGACACCAGATTCTTTCTGAATTGGACAAGCTACACCTTTTTCCTTCTTAAAATATTTCTCTAGCAGCATCATACACATCTTGATTTAACTTTCTCACAGATGTTTTTTCAACAAAATAGTAAGCTGTCTGATAGCGCTGCTAAGGGTTCTAGAAGTAACATATTTTTGAATGCTTCTCCCAGTAACTTTTGATTTGAAGTGCTCATCTTTATAAAAGGAATAGATCATAATCTTTGGAACTTGTTCCTTTTCTGTACAGGTTAAATTAAGCATACTGCAACTAGCTCATAGCAGATCCATTCAAGACATAGTGAAAATTGCATTCGATACCTTCTTGGTTTTAGCAGGTAACTCGCCTTCATTGTTACTACTTCCACTGTAATCAAAGAAAAATATGTTCATTTTTAAGAACCAAAGACAGACAAGTAGCACTCATAACATCTGCTTGGATACACAGTAAAAAGGCTACATTCATATTACATGTTTTTTATCAACCCTTATTGCTCCTCCAAGAAAACTGAGAATGGTAAATTTGTCAGTTCCCTGTCATGCAATATCTGGTGTGTTTTTCCTGATGCCATCAAAAAAAAAATTAATTTTGATTAAACAGAGAAGAAATCTTGCACCATCATAGAGTTCTGCTAATTCTGCAACCTCAAGCCAACCATAAGAACAATAACAAAAAAATAATTGTCCAAATGAAGTTATTGTTATTTCAGTTGAATATATAACTAATATCCAGGTAATATATATGCCAGCTAGTCTCCCTGTTCCCCCCCATTCAGTCACTGTAGAAAAACTTGTGCAAAAAAAAAAAATCTCCTGTAAACTTCGATTATGGACCCCTGCTTGCACATTCACTTAACTGTGATGGTCACTCCTTGCTAGAGATTGTCAGCTCAGATCACTCTCCTAAACTGTTCCAAAGCCAGTCAGTCAGTTTGTACCATGTCATCACCTAATGGTGCTTACTTCAATCGAAACAGATTAGTGAATGATCTCTCAAGCATCTAAATTGTTAAAAAGAAATATTGAACAGCTAGAGAATGGCCTGGCTGAGACAACTTCTAACTGTAGCTGTGCTCAAAGATAAAATATCCATGAAGCTCACTGAGGCCACAGTTAGATTCCAAGGATGCCTCTTCAGAGACAGTTAAATGCAAGCCATTCACCACACCACTGCTGAAAAGCAGTCTCATTTCTCCTCCCTTCCATACGTCAGCTACTGCACTAACAAATTCATGTGACAAGCTAGAGTTCTTACCACACACTCACACAGTCCTGACACAAATAAAAACAATGCCTTTGCTTTAAGTCAAGACACCTTAAGAACTCCAACAAGACCTTTCAAGTAACCCTTCTAAAGCAGCTGAGCTGAGTTTTCTGACAAGTATGAGGCAGTGCAGTACTAGCCTAAAAAAGCAACATATTTTACTGTAATAGTGCCTTTATATGCTCATTTAAGTTGTACTGGGAGGGATATTATCTTTCTGTAAAGATTATTTGGCAAAACTTTTAACAAACTTACTTCTGTTTAACTGGCTCACATACAACACTATGTGCCGGCCAATCTTTTTTCTGACAATCTGCAGAGCAATAGTACACTTGCTTGCACTGTGAACATCTGAGGGGTCCTAAAAAAATAAGGCCAGAGAAAACATCTATATCAGATCCATATCGGAAGATATAGACTCCATGTATTATTTAATAACTGCTTTACAAGATGATTCCACTACAAGCACACTCAAAGGTATTTTTATTCACATAGAGCTATCGGGTATTACTGCCTTAGATGTCTCAAATTCTTTATATATTTAAGAATGAAAAAAACCCCAAACCTAAACATTTCGACAAAGGAGATTCTCTCTTCTGTTTATTGGATCTGTAATCCCAACTCTGTTCTGAATAGTCACTATATTTGCACCTGAGCTTAAAATATACATCCATTTTAAGACACTTCCGAGCAAGCCTTCTAATCTGGTTTCACCAATAAATACACCACACACCTCGCACTAAAGGACAAAGGGCTCTTACCAAACAGACCACAGTGATGGCAAGTCCTCAGCTGAGGTGATACTAATGAACCAAAGAGACTCTTATCACAGCCAACAGAGAAAACACTCTCCGAGGAATATGGACATTTCTTTGGCTTCTCATGCATCAAATCAGAAGGAGACGCCTGTGGAAGAAAAATCTAAGCGATTCTTGCTAGACAAAAGCTGCCCAATAGGATAGAAGAATTCTAACATACCAAAACATGACAAGGAAGAGTCAAAATTTCCAAGTTCTAGAAAGAGCAATAGATGCCAATCATTTCTGCTATCTAGAAACACTCAGAATACCTGAGGCAATTATAAAGTTTCAGCAACTCACAGTACTTCCCTTATCAGCTGCAGCTCCTAACAGCAAGTTCCCTCTTCCTGTGAGGCATTCCATGGAACTTCCTAGAAGCAGAAGCATTAGCAAAGAAATCTGATTAGCCACGCTACTGCATGCCTGTGTTACAAATCATTTGCAAGAAGACATAGGGCTCTTATCCACACCTACTATTTGGCCTGCGCATTGGAGAAAATGGCAATGCTAGGACCACGACACGGAATTCACCTCTTGTTATCGTGCTGATACTACATTTATTCGAACCTACCAACAGTGGGATTATTAAAGCAACAGTTTCACCACTCTGTGCTTATCACTCAATGTAAGTTTTAACGTCATTAATCCAGGAATTTGTTTCAATTAAACTTGTTCAGCAG